AATTCAGTTCAGGCTGGATTGAATGAAATGAAGTCAATAGACGCATTTCCTACCTCATATAGGGCCTGTAACTTTATTTGAGTTGGTTGTGCAGCTCAGGAATGGTAGGCTGTTTCTTTTGCGCCGTTTTGAGATATCATTAGGTATGACAGAATTAACGCTGGAGGGTTTTCATTTCTGGTTCTTCACAATAGGTCAGGTGGCGGTAGTGATCGGGCGCTACCTGCCAACTGGTGGAGGAAACTTATTTTCTAGACCTTCTGTAAGAACACACATATTTACTATCTTCTGTTATGTTCCAATGTCAGAGGCTGGTCATATTACGTCAGGGGATCTACCATGAGCTTTGTGTGACAGAATGTCTTTGCTACTAAAAATTGAATTGGTGACATAATACAGCATATCATAAAACAGAAAAAAAAATCCGTGTTACACGTTAATAACACATGTGCTGTAATGCAGCATATGTCACCAACCAAATGTCCATATGAACTATAAACACAAGGCACGTTACACAACCTATGACGATTAAAGCATTGAGAAAACACTAGAGTAAATCAATCACAGCTCCAACACAAAATAACGTGTAGACCCCTCCCCCTCCCTCCCAGTACCTTGGGACTCGTCGTTTTCGTGCAGTGTCGCTGAGGCGAAGCTCAGACAGACCCCGCCAAGATTGGCGCACTTTGTCAACTTGAGTTAATTAGTTTCTGCGTGAGAAGGACTAATTGAAATACTTTTTGTAGTTGATTGGTTCTTTCTGTCAGACAATGGTACGGGAACTCATTTTTTTCTCTCAAGGGATTACGTAATAAAAATATATGGCATTGGACGACTTTTGTGCTATTTTGCATAGGATTTCATTTCTCTGGCTATTCTTATGTAGCTGATTTTTCGTTCTGATATCTTTCAAATAGACATTGATAACCCGCGAGTTGCTGGGGGGGGGGCGTTAAACTAGCCCCCACTTTTTTCGCCGGGACATAGCATAAAAACGGCGCGCCGCAGGCGCGCCAAATTTTGGGTACCTTTAGGGAATTGATTGAAGTTTATTGTGACAAAGTTTCAAAAAAATTGGTCCGAAAACTTTTGAGATATCGAGGTTTTAGTGACGTCATGATTTCTGAGTTTTCGAACAAAAACGGCATATGTTCAAAAAATCATATAAAAACACAGAATAGACATACAGACATGCCGTAAACGCCATTAGACTGCCAATACCATGAACAATCAAATGGCTATCTTCGATTATTGATTATTGTTCCGCATTTTCCAAAATCTTGAACTGAATCTTGGCAATTTCTCGTGACTCCTTCACGACCATGATACATGAATTTCTTAAATTCGAGTTTTTGAGCCAAACACGTACACACATGATAAAATGAATGTCACCATCGTGTTCTACGCCCCAAATTACCCATAAAACATGTGTCACAGGCTGCGAATATCAGTTTTGATTTTCGGGGATATGTGCCTACCTGGTTGACCTGACCTTGACCCTGACCTATGCTTGACTGACCCCTACATGGAGCTGACACTCTTGTAGGCCTTATATGATGGATTGTGCACCGTTTTGACAGAGATTATGACGAGAGGCGCCCATTGCGAAGTCCTGAAGTCAATGCTACTGAAAGCCCGATTTCAGGTGTTTGACCTGACCTTGACCCGACCTGTGACCTCAAAATTCAACTTTAAAGTACTCATCTGAAGCGTCTTGTCGCGTTCTTTCGTTTGCCGCCTCGTGCGTTTCGCTGCGCCTATTGGTTCTCGAGTTATCGGCTGGGGGCGTTTAACGCCCCCCCCCCCCCCAGCAAACGGTGGGTGGCGAAATACCCCAGCAACTGCCGGGATAATACCCTTGTTTTCGGTACGCCTTGTTACACCAAGTCATCATCAAATGTGTTAGATATTACGTTTTGTCTTATCACTGGAAATGTCTACGTAAAAATTATAAATTTGCTCTCTTTAATTAAATTGCTTATTTTTATCGCTTTCCAAGTGATTTTTTACCTATCTATTATCTGTCTTCCGTCACTAAATTTGAGTCGATTCATCGCCTGGCCTCGACATCCTGCTGCAACAGCTATCACATTGATATATCATATCTCTATACGATAATATCGGCTTTGATCACGCAGGCTCTGGCTCTCAGTGTGTTTATAAAGTCCTCGTTACACGAGCAACTCTAGTTGCGAAAGCATTAGATTAATGGAAATTTTAGCTCAAAACGTAGAACATCTCAACAACGGAGAGAAAACGCTTTTGATTAGCCCAAATTCATCATGACTTCACACTTGAGAACCGTTGTCAACCCTCACCTGCTGCAATTTTCCAACGCATCATCGGTAATTACCCTGCAGCATTTATAACTATTGAACAGTTAGCAGCCTACGCAGTTATCTGTAAGACGTACCAGCTCAAGGTGAGCATCACTCAGAAACAGATTGCTCGTTGCCTAGCAACTAGCTGCTGGGAGCTCCAGTAAAAAGAAGCTCGTCTAATTGAAACTTGTGTCGTCTCCCCCTAGGGAGCCATTGATCCGTTTTCTTTGACATTCTCTGTAATAGGCTATATGCTGGTCTGGCACTCTAGCGGGCTGTATCTCGCCCGTATTGGTGTTTTGCCAGCCGCGAACGTATAAAGGGGGGGGGTCCGTTGAACACACCCTCGCCGTTTCGTCCCCCAATGAATTGAGCTAGAGCCTCGTGGAAGTATTGTGCATGTGTGCCGTTACAAGACGCAGCGATTGCTATCCGATTTTAAGGTCTCAGGTCAACCGGTGACCTCTGAGGTCGGGTCAAGTGGCCCAAGTCACGGGTTCAGTGTTTGGTAAATAATTTGGCAAACAAGGTGGCAGAGCCGCGATTTTGGTACTATCGTTCTATTCTTTGAGCCTTCATTTGTTTTGATCTCTTGAGCCTCTCTTCCCTGACAATACACCCATCCAACGATTCAAGTTCGACTATTGTTCTTCTGATTTCTTCTTTCCTTGAAAAGAACCTAGAACGTAACCATCCCAAATTCTTTTGGCTAGTATTGATATTGCCTTTATGTCCCAATTCATGGACATTCTGAGCTCTCAAGCCAATTTCGTGGCCTGTCGTAGGAAATCAGACCCGGACATTTCACATCCTGCTGGTGAATGATGTAATAATGGCTTCGGTCCGATTGAATGGCTATTGAACAGCACCGGCTGCAGTTTAGGCGTGTATTACGTAACACCGGCCGCCGACGATACCATATATCATTCGAACGATGTTTTCTAATACCTATCTACTTTTCAGTTTATGTGTTATTTGGGTACCGTTGCGTTGCGTTACTTAGACACAAATGACGCAATTTTGCGAAGGTATAGAATAGAGTATAGGGATTATGCAAAACTGACGTGTATGAGGTTCTTTTTTGTCCATTTCATCTGAGCTATCTGATTATTAGGAAAACAATTCCAACAGCAAAAATCTGAGCACTAAATCGTACCCGCTTTGCGTCACACGGCTCGTTCTTGAAATCAGTTTGCCAGCCATATTATATTTTGTTCTAAACTAATAAATTCGACCTCTTTCCTCTCAGGTGACTCTTTGCTACCATATATTTCTTGTTTTAATGGTTTACCTCCCCAGTCTTCCGTTTCAGGTGGCTCTTTGATGACGCCTTCCATCAGTTCTACCATTCTACCGCTTCCGTTTCAGGTGGCTCTTTGATAATGTAATCTGTCATCTCTAACATTCTACCTCTTCCGTGTCAGGTGGCTGTTCGGTGACAAACAAGGGATCTAGTCTAACACTCTACCTCTTCCGTTTCAGGTGGCTGTTTGGTAACGCCGGTTGCCAGTTTTACGCCTTCATGGGATTTCTGTTCGGCTCAGCTAACATCGGCACGCTGGCCCTGATAGCGCTGGATCGATACGCCGTTACCTGCCGGTGTGAGATACGTGAGTATTTATTGTGAGATGCGTGAGTATTTATTGTGAACAGACGTGAGTATTTATTGTGAGAGACGTGAGTATTTATTGTGAGAGACGTGAGTACTTATAGGGAGATGCGTGAGTATGTATTGTGAGAGACGTGAGTATTTATTGTGAGAGACGTGAGTATTTATTGTGAGAGGCGTGAGTATTTATTGTGAGAGACGTGAGTATTTATTGTGAGAGACGTGAGTATTTATTGTGAGAGGCGTGAGTATTTATTGTGAGAGGCGTGAGCATTTATTGTGAGAGACGTGAGTATTTATTGTGAGAGACGTGAGTATTTATTGTGAGAGGCGTGAGTATTTATTGTGAGAGTCGTGAGTATTTATTGTGAGAGACGTGAGTATTTATTGTGAGAGGCGTGATTATTTATTGTGAGAGGTGTGAGTGTTTATTGTGAGAGGCGTGAGTATTTATTGTGAGAGACGTAAGTATTTATTGTGTGAGGCGTGAGTATTTATTGTGAGGAACGCATGTAAAATGCGAGAGTATTGTGATATGTGACATGCTTACGTATTTATTGTGAGGAAAGCTGTGAATATCTATTGTGAAATACCCAAGTTTTTATTGTAAGAGACTTATGTGAAAACGTGGGCTTTTATTGTGAGACACGTGGGTATTTATTTCAAGAGACAGAGTTATGAGAAATGCTTGAATATTTATTGTAAGGAACAAATGTAAATGTGTGAGTATTTATTGTGAGAGACGTGAGTATTTACTGTGAGAAAAGATACTGTAGAATACCTAAATAGTTACTGTGAGAAACGTGAACATCAACTATGAAAGATGAATGTGAGATAAGTAAAAAAAATATTTTGAGAAATATTTGTCAAATACGTGAGCATGATTGTGACATCTTTGAGATCAACCTTACCATATTTTGTACCGCGACAGTCAATGTAGTTGGAACTTGGAAGCGGGGCTGTGGAGTCAAGAGATTTCAGTGACTCGAACTCAGTGACTCGAATTCGGCTCCGGCTTCAAAAAATCAACTCCGACTCCTACTCCCGCTCCTAAGTTCTGGCAAGTGGCATGTCTGCAGAGTCGATGGATTCTGGGCAGTAATCGCCACGCCATGTGTGGATCGCCCACGATCGTAAATACAATTCAATGCCTACAACTCCCATTCCGGTCAGAGATGTCAACTCCAACTCCAACTACGACTCCGACTTTGCTGCCCTGGTAACAAGTACTTTACGGCCACCAAAGGAACAGGATCTGCGCCACCGGCCTATCTCTTACCACCGACCAACTCTGAAAAAAAAACGCGTCATTAGCATAGCGTGTAATGGCAATATCCGATACGCCAGCTCATCCTCGAAAAAATACGGATCTTATTACGTCGCTCATTGGTCTGCCAAATAAAATAATTGGATGCTGTATTCATCTGGACGGATAAAAATGTCTTTGGAAGAAGGATGATAGGGAATAATATAGGGAAAATGTCCTATGACACTTACTGGGTGGGCCAGGAGATGCAGACCATTCGCTAGGAGCAATGCCGGTCACCAAAAGATGACTTCATGCATTGTCGCAAGCTGCTCTGAATTCTTGAGCAGCCTGGCAATTCTTAGTCTTTATCCTGGTGTGAACTCTCTGTGGCTAGACAAACTACCTAATTTGACTTTTTTACGTTTCTTACCAGACCGTCAGCCCTTGGCTACGGTATCTAACAAATATTTTTGGATCCTTACTTGGCATACATTGCCCTGTAATAATGCCCAGACGAAACCACTGTGCATCGGTATCATATCCAGTAAAATAGCCTCATTTGTAAGACAGAGACGTAACAGGCGTGGTCACTGGCAAATTATCATCATTATCAGATGCGGTATCAGGTATATGGTATTCGGAATATCTTGCTCTTTGGTATCCGCAGAGTTATTTTAGTGATGATGTCGTTGTTATGTCTGTATGACACGGAGGATGTTGCTCCATTGATGTGCAATGTGAATGTTTTGCTTTTTTGTGGCAGAAGGCCAGCTGGTGTGATAGAACGTATTTGACGTTATATGAGTAGTACGGCTTTACTAGTTTTCATATCACATCCGAAATGAGCCCACATACCATGTCATGTGTCGTATGTCATGGCCAAGGATAACCCCACATGGCATGTCCTGACATGACATTTTTTCATCAGAAAATTCATTCGAAAAGTTGAATGAGTGACTGTGGGCCCGGGTAACATGACTTATGACGGGATATACCTACCTAGGTCATGTCATATGTCATGTCATACCCCTTGAGTCAAATCATGTCATTCCATGTCCTGTGCCATAACATGTGTCTTGTCCTGCCATGTCATGTGTCCTATCCAAGACTCCTCACATGACATGACCAAGGTAAACCATCAGGATCTGGCGAGGTGGCATGTCGGGCCAATAGATGCCAACACGCGATATTGATTCTCAATTCACCGAAGGTCATCTGCCAGCTCTGCTAAAGACGCTCGGATTATACTTGTTGTGATTATCGAGTGCTTGGCGGGAGAGGTAGACGGACAGCTGAAACTGAGCCTGTTGATGTCACTGGTTATATGAACTTTGCTATATTTGATACAAATTGATAAGAAATTGATAAATCGGATGCTTGGCGGAACAGTACATAGAGCCCTAAAATAAGGAATCAGTGATTGTGTTTAGAACATGAACTAAATGCAATGTTATACTTTTTATCATAGACAGGTAGCATACTATCAGGAGAACAAAATAGCTTGCGAGATTTGTTGTATCTGTAGTTTCACTCACGAAGTATTTTGTATCATGTCTTTATACTGGGTAATATAACCCCCTGTTCTCACTACAATTTGTTTTAACCCGGCCGGGCCCGGGGGGTAATCCCAACCACCGCAGCCCGAGGAGGGGGTTTTTTCGCCCCCCCCCCCTGTCTAGCTTCGTAAATTAGGGAGCTACGGAAACAACAGTGATACCAAACCAAAGGTTCTTACGAGACGATTCCAAAGCACCTAACATTTTTGACCTCAGGTCAATTTTCAAGGTCAGAGGTCAAGGTCAAAGGCAAAAACCGTCACATGTGTAGTGATCTCAAAGTAAGCGTTCTAGAGGACGATAGGATGCATAAAACCGGCAAAATTGGGTGTCAAACAAAAGAAGAGAATCTGAGGGTTCTTAAAATGTGCTCAAAATCAAAGGTCAAGGTCAAGGTCATTCACAAACGTGACCTCAAACTTAACACTTTCGAAAATCTTGCGTGCTAATTTCCAAGATGTTTTGAAATGTTTTGAGGCTTATCAGGTCCCTATTTGTGGTTCATCTTACGATACAAGGCTGCTCAAAGGTCAAGGTCACACCAGAGTTTCCTTGCTAGAGGCTATTTCACTGATTTAAGTAAGTAATAATAAATAAGACAATTTTGCCATCCGAAGGCTCTCAATGGAGGATTAGATGAAAATGGATGCCAGATTCGTTATCAGCGGGTACAAATCCATCATAAACGACCTTTCATATGTCATGGTCAACCAAAGGTCATTCGAGGTCACATGAGGTCAACATAGAACTTGATCTTTTCCAAACAAAATATATATCATTCGACGCGGCTTGACAAGGCGAATGCGATGGTACTACCGCCGTAGCTCTAGGGCCATTTTTGTCGAAGTTATTTGCGAAAAAAAAACTAAAATAACATTTCGGGGTCGTTGACCTGACCTCTGACCTCAGGTCACCAAAAATATTTTTTTTTCTGTTTTTATCTAGGGCAAATGCTACACAACCGTGCTCGTAATTTGTCTTTATTTCTAAAACTCTTTTTTTAGCAGCTATTTGAATTTCGCGTCTGTGACGCCGAAGTTTGCCGTGCAGGGGTCTAGAAAAATCGACCCTGTGACGTCATGAAGGGGGCTAGGTCCATTTTTTACTCCAGAAGATGTCAAATTGATGGGAAAAAAAGGTACCTACTGAAAGTTTCGCTTTCCTATCCCTAAGCGCTCGGGAGCTATCGCAAATATTCGCCAGGGGGGGGGGGGGAGCGAAAAACGCCCCCCCCCCCGGGCCCGCGAGGGTTAAAGTCCTCCAGTCTCCATAGTGCAAACTGCAAACGTCATTAGTTTTAGCCAACGAGCCTCATTTTCGAAACCCCGTAACTCAGCTGAGAGATGTAAATCCCAGCGCGCCTCCAGACTCGTTTATAAAACCGCCGCAGCTGAAGCAATTACGGTAGGGAGTCCGGCCCCATTTCACTGAGATGCTCGGCGGTACAGCATCATTTCAGGCGCTATACGCCACTGCCATCTAGCGGGCGGCTCGTAATCTTATTGTGGAGCGGGTGGAACGGTTCATTCAGCGATTGAAAAATAAGTGTATTGTAATTTTACGTTTAAATTGGATTACATTGAGTGAAGAATGATTAATTAAATTGGTTTGATTGATTTCTAGGAGACATATTCGCTCCTATCACCGGATCTAAACAATTTATAGCTCTGATGCCAGAGTTACCAACATAAGAATATCCACCTGCCGTTTTTTTTTGCCTAAAGACCGCTTCACATACGGAGCTAAACGCGATGGGCACGTTAGCAGATAGGGCTCTACCTTTTACGCTCCGTATGTGAAGCAGTCTTCAAGCAAACAATTCCGGCAGGCGGCTACTTTTCTGTTGGTAATTCTGGCCTCTGCATAACTTGGTTCTATTCCATTCACTCGTTCCGCCAATACGTCAAGGCCGCAGGCTCACCACCCGACGCAACCCGACGTGCAAATCACGTGACCGGCCTCCCGGTCACGTGATCTGACCTGTGCAAGAGGTCACGTGACATGACGTCATAGACGCCCGGGGCTGCGGGATTGACGAACGCTGAATGGTGAGGAGCCGGCCGCTGGCAACCAAAAAAATGATACTAGCCGTTTTCACGACGGGCTATCCGGCGAGTGCACCTGATTTGACCAAATGTGCACCTAATCTCTTTTACAGCAAATATCTTTTTTATGAATTTATTCTAGTGTTTTAATCGATGATGCTCTCTGATAATATGACAACGCAGGCATATAAGCAGTTAGTGCAATTCTAGCTGATAGCTACTAAGAGACGCACTGAACCTGATTTGACCAAATCTGCACCTGATCTGCACCAGATGTGTTCCAAATGTGTACCAGATGGCCGTCGTGAAAACGGCTAATGTATCTGGTATTTGAAATATGAAGGGAGAAACTTTATATGCAAATGCGTGCATGTTGTTTCAAGAGGGGGAAACTTGTGAGGCAAATACAATTTGATGGCCTTGCCATTTGTAGGTGACGTCTGGCAGATACAAAACGACCAATGCACTGGTGGAATTATCTGTGGGGTTTCATTTAACTCTATGAGCCCCGTCACATCGTCTGTCCTAGTTGGATCTCGTGTGTCCCACTTCCCTTGACCTCTTGTGGCCTCTGGTGACCTCTGGTGACCAAGCTTACCTCGGTTGATCTGTGCTGCTGACATCCATTGGCCTCTATTTTCAGAAAGTCAACTAACGTCTGCTAGCTTGTATTCAACTCTGTTTATTTCGACTGAGCTCTGTTGACCTCTGTCCTTTGATGACCTCTCTTGACATCTCGTGACATCATGCCTCTGATGACCTCTAGTGACCTGATCATACCTCTGATGACCTCTGGTGACCCCTTTTGACCTATATTGACCTCTGTTGACCCTATTTAACATCTGCCGACTTCTGTTGACCTCTGTTGATTTCTGGTGATCTCATCATTCCTCTGAACTCTGTTGACCTTATCACTTCTCTGATGACCTCTGGTGACCTCTGTTCTCAGGAGGTCGTCTGACCTATGGCCGCTACTGTCACCTAATCGGACTCGTTTGGCTGTCGTCTACGTTCTGGGCCTCTATGCCGCTGCTCGGTTGGTCCAGGTAAGAGTAGACACGAAGGCTAGATTCATCGAAACTCTGTACGTACTGTATAGGCTAGATTATGGTGACATGACGGTTAGATTCATTTCACTTCTGTACGTACGATGTAGCTGTCCTTTATCCAGCCGTCCAAGAAAAGTAGAACATGAGATAGTAGCCACTTTTGATAGTCGTTCTCATTAGATAGCCGTTCTCTTATAAACTTTGTGAGGCCCTCATCAAGCCCTCTCTGCCCATAACTTGATACACTGAAGCATACTGTTTCCTAGCCACAGATACAGATGTTTACTTCATATTCAGATCTACCAAAGAGACACAGTGTTTATAGTTGTTGTATGTCTAACTTGATAAATTGCAAATAAATAAATACAGAACAGTTGGTAACCGATTAGCATCTCGTCCCTCAACTCATCGCCTCCCTCCCCTCCCGGCTCGTTGGGAAACTACACGGCCGTACTTACAAGCATCGCAGTCTTATCCCTCGGGCTAGAACCGATAACTGACAATTGTTTCCTAGTCCTGCTCTCTATTACATCTCTAATTTCAATACCCCTGACTACAGTGGGGACTGACTGAATGAATGACTACAATGAAGAGCTTTTGCTCCTCGCCTCTATTCTACATAACTCCCCCTTTACCCCTTTACAGGTATAACTACGAACCCTCTCTCACCACCTGCACAATCGACTGGCGTCACAACACTGGAGGATACCGCTCGTTCCTACTAGTGTACTTTGTACTCTGGTACCTTGTACCTCTCGGAATCATTTTCTTCTGCTACTGGCACGCTGCGAAGTCGATTAGAAGAGGAAGAGCTTCACCGAGAGATCATTACTGTTATGATTGGGCCAATGAGAGTAATGTTACTCTGGTAAGTGGGCCAGAGGGAGTAATGTTATTCTGTTTAGTGGGGTAATAAGAGAGATTGGACTCTGCTCAGTGGGCCAATGAAAGTAATGTTACTCTAGTGAGAAGGGGCTTAGCGAGAAGAGGGAGAGAGAGAGGGAAGAGGAATAGAGAGAGAGAGAGAGAGAGAGAGAGAGAGAGAGAGAGAGAGAGAGAGAGAGAGAGAGAGGGAGGGAGGGAGGGAGGGAGGGAGGGATCAGGGGAAGGTAGGGGTGCTGAAAAGGAGTGTACTCTGTTAGTGGTGTGAGAGGGGAGAAGGGGGTTGCTGATGGAGAACGTGGGCGCTATTGCAAGGGGGAGGAGGGCGCTGAAACTGATGATACTTATCTTGGGAAAGGAAATGATAGCCTAGAAATATTTGCAGGAATCACATTTCTGGTAAACGTTTAGTGAATGATGAATGTATGGAAATAATTAAAAGGATCATTATGCTTTATAGGCATGATTTTATATTTCTCATGTGTTTCCTGCTGACGGTTTGCTCGTTTCAAATGTTTTATGCTCGTGGTGTATTTGCCGTTGTAAGTACATTTTATAGACGTGTGCCCTGTTCATTTTCAGATGTGTTTCCTGCTGGTGGTGTCGTTTGCTGTCTGTTGGAGCGGCTACGCCGTGGTTTGCCTGTGGACAGTGTTCTTACCACCCGACTCAGTACCGTTTATATTGACTCTTCTGCCACCACTACTGGCAAAGGTGAGACGCTGACAGTGGAAACTGACACATTGACACTGACACACTGACACTGACTCACTGACACTGACACACTGACACTGACACACTGACACACTGACACTGACACACTGACACTGACACACAGACATACACAGACCTGTGCCTTACTGACAACCAGTTTTAACCCTATTCCTGGCGAGGGGGGCCTCAGGAGCCCCCCCCCCCCCTGAGGTTTTTTGGTTATTTCTCCCAAACGCGTTGAGCTAGGAAGCTCAAATTTTCTGACTTTTCCTAAAAGGCTTCTACGCAACATGTCTGAAAATTTTGAGTTGATCTGACCTCAGGTTAGGTCACCAGAGGCGGTTTGGTGACCCTACCTCAGAAAAGTTTGCAATCACGCCAGAGCTAGAGTTTTTGACCGATCAATTTCTTCTCTTCAGGCTTTAGTTAGGGTACCAGTATGTGCAATTTGTTTATCTCGGAATTTTCATATCCGTGACCTAAGGTCAGGTCAGTTTCGCGACCTCCCCATTATAAGTCAATGGGGGAAAAATCAACTCCCTGTTTTTACCACTAAAACGGGTCGGAATGGCCCCATATACCATACATGACTTCATATACGATCAACCTTCACTACCTTGAGGTCTGTTTTGCTGTTGGGCAGCTGTGAGGTCATGTGACGTCATCAAAGGTCACCAAAGGTTTTTGGCCAATAACTCCGTACAGGAACAAGATACAGACGCGTGGATGGTCTCATTGTGTTCAGCTTGTCAAGACTCATCGAATGATATACATGATGACCTCGAGGTCACGTGACCTGAGGTCAACCCTTGACCTTGACCTTTCGAGGTCAACATATATATCATTCAATGCGGATTGACGAGAGGATCACGATGATGCCCTTAGTTTGTTCCTATCATGATTAATTCGAAAGTTATTCGAGAAAAACTCTCTCCATATCTAGCGCCGCCATTTTGACTTTTTCGACCCCTGTGACGTCATCTTTGCCCTGACCTGAAAATGACCTTGGTAAAAATTGTAGATCTTGACCGTGCGTATCCGATGCCGTTTACCGTTTGTCGCTGCAATGTGTAGTTTTTGAGATCTGAAGGGGGGGCCGAATCGGCCCCCCGCCAGTTTCTTGTCCCGGCGGAGCCCGCCAGGAATAGGGTTAGAAATAGGACACTGTTTATAAGTCAACATGTAACACGACAAACTACGTTCCCAAATTCTTATATGGATTTCAAAAATCATATATTCGGATTGCTGGTACACACACCTTTGAATGTAAATGGAGAAGCGCGTAAAGCCGTGTCGATGATTTTCTTTTCTTCATTTCCAGACTTACCCTGTGATCAACCCGATGATATTTTTTGTCTGTAATACGAGGATCAGACGTGGTATGCAGATTACAATGAAACGACTCTTCTGTCAGAAACTCAACGGTAAGAAATGAGAGAGAGAGAGAGAGAGAGAGAGAGAGAGAGAGAGAGAGAGAGAGAGAGAGAGGGAGAGAGAGAGAGAGAGAGAGAGAGAGAGAGAGAGAGAGAGAGAGAGAGAGAGAGAGAGAGAGAGAGAGAGAGAGAAAGAAATCGAGAGAGAGAGGGGGAAGGGAGGGTAGAAGAAAGAGAAAGTCTGAAGGGACGAGGGAGGGAGGAAGGGAGAGTTTTGTGTAAGGAGTGAGTGAGTGAAAGCGTGAGTGAGTGAGTGTGTGAATGAATGAGTCCCGAATCGGTATCTCGGTGTGAATTGAGTGGTAATTTCTTTCGAAATGCTAAATTTAGGTCTTATGAGATTAACTAGGAGGCTAACGTTTCTCCCATATTTTCTTGCATGAGTGCTTGCACGTGTCTAGTGTTGTTGGCTCGGCATCGCTTTAGAGGCTATGTGTTGACACAGAGTTTACTCGGGTTTTGTTCAGTGATGCCGCTGTCTCAGATCTTATCCTCGCACAACATTACGTCTTACTTGGCTGTATTGTGCTTTTTGTCTACCCTGTTTGGTCTGTGTGCCTATGTGTACCGGTTTAGGAAGCCTATTTGAAAGTGTTGAAACACATTCATAGCTATTGACAAACAATCTTGAGAAAATGAACAAACATGCTCAGTGAAATTGCAAGCTTTCGAAATTTAATACCTCATGTATGACAAAACATGTTCAACTAAATTAGCTGCTCTATGATTATTTGTTATCTTTCTACATCGGCATATTTAAGCAACCGGCTTAATTTCTGTTTCAAATTTCACGAGAATGAAAACAGTTTTTGATTTACATGTTTTACGTCATTACATCAGCGACCACATGACGTTAAACAAGAATTATTTTCTTTGATTTTTCAGAGGAAGAAAGAATTGAATGGCGGGAGCGAATCTTCACATATAACCTGGACCTAATGAAATCATTCAAGGAAAAATAACTGTGAGAAATTGTAAAAATAACAAATCGTTGAAGCACACGCCCTTTCAAAGTAGGCGTCTTTTGTTGATATGCTGAAATTATGTCTGATGTAGCAGCCCCTTTGACCTCAATTGCTGTTTGGTGCTAGTTAGCGTTATGTCAGCAAGGTGTAATTTGTAAAAACAAGTGTAATAATTAGCACCTACCTTACGTCTCATTTGGAGATGACACCAGTAGCCGGTATATATATTCCAGTTTCGCATGTGTTACTGTTATCCCGTTCGTTTGAAAACCAGTTTGAATTCATTTATTTCCTAGGTACATAGTGGTATTCTCTTCAGAAAATTGAGCACAGCCTGCAACATGAAATTAATGATTTATGGTCGAGAAAAAAACATCTGCTCGTCTTCAATCTAGGACCTGAAAAAACCGTACACTGTTCATGTTAATAAAACAAAGTGAAGTGGGTTCTGCATTGTTGTGGATTCTGTCTTCTTACATCCCTAAACCTAGACTTTAGAGAGATATATTCTGACCAAGTCAGTCTTGCGAATAAATTCCCTTCTGAATATACGCGCGTGACTGGGATGTGAAGTAATATTACAGCGTATTCGATATTTGTATGCTGAATTTCACAACAGAACCCACCCTTAATAAGCATAGTTAAAAAAAAATGTACAGTGTAGTTCAAAATATATCTCATTGCAGTCATGATAACTGAACCATTTCATATCTCTTTTGTCTTTCTGAGAATTTACTCCCAAATAACAGATCCAAATTAAACCCGGAGTGCCCCATTTAGACTTCGAGATAAAACAGACTAATGTTGAATGATGTTGAGGGTTTCTTTGAAAATGAGCCCCATTATTATTAAAAGATAAGCAAGTAATAGCCTTTGGCTCATTGTATAATAGACAAAAGAAGTGGAAAAGAATGTATGTGCGATATTTCGTGTTCGACACTTTTTCATGCACTGAGTGCATGAAAAAGTGTCGAACACGAAATATCGCACATACATTCTTTTCCACTTCTTTTGTCTATTATACAATGAGCCAAAGGCTATTACTTGCTTATCTTTTAAAACAGACTAACCAATCAAACGACTTTGTCGGACTTAGTTTATTTCATTCACTAACTTTGCCTCCTTTCACCTCCTACAAAGTTTTACTGAACGATTTCATCTTTAGCACCAACCCAGCAACTTTGTACAATTTGGTTTATAATTCGTTGACCTGAGGTCATATCTGAAAACAATACTGAGAAAGGCCTGTAAAAGGGCTATCGAATGCGCTTTTCCGCGGCGCTGTGGCTCTATTGGTTCCCGGGCTAGCCGTTGGCAGTTTCCAAAATTGTTCAAATGGACTAAATTTGACCTTTGATGATCTCTGGCGAACTGACCTTTGACCTGACCCAAAAAATGACTTAAGTTTTTTTCCCGTCATTATCTTCGACGCTCTTTCGATTGCCGCTTACTGCGTGTCCCTATACGTGACCCAGGGACCGAGTTAGATGGGGGGTGTTCAGACCCCCCCCCCCGACCCCCCAGCCCTGCCTGGCGTGGAAGTCGCGGAGCACCGGCTCGGCGCGGATTAAAACAGACTAACCAATCAAAACAAATCTTTCGGACGTAGTTTATTTCATCCACTAACTTATCGTTCACCTCCTACAAAGGTTCCCTGAACGAGTTCATCTGTAGCACCAACCCCACAACTTTGCACAAATTGGTTTATATATCTCACCAAGTTTCCTTCATGTAATGGAGTAAAGTCTGTCTGAAGAATATCAATCGTAGCCTCTACGGGACCGCTCCCTTATACCCACAGTTCTAAGTCGAGCATGTTTCAATAGTTATGACATATATAGGAACGGCCAGGAACGGCGTGCTAACCGTGATTTAATTCAACTAGTTTGGAACATCTTCGACTCCAAAGTGCTGCTGGAAAACTCTGATTTAAAGTCAGTTGAAAAGATATATCAGGTCTTTGCAACGGAAACCTAACCTGAGTTCTCCTTTTCATTTTTTTTTTTTTGTTATAATTAGTAATATAATAAGGAGCAGCATTGACTTTGAATATGTACTGTTCTTCTGTGTCAAATGTGTTGAAATGTGACAGTTTTGACTCTCTAGTTTGACTAAGCAAACGTTCTAAGACAGGTCGACACTTTGTCACAATGACGATTCTTGCTGATGGCGTAAAACAATTAGTACAATAACAGTAACAACAATTAGTACAACAATGTAACAATTGTAATATAGTGCAACAATAATAATACACTGAAACAATTGTGACACACTGTGACAGTTGTGATGCGCTTTGTGACACTTGCGGCGCTCCTCCGGCAGATGATATGGTGATCGAGGAGCCTGCACCGAATACGTCTCACCCAGAATGCGCGGCCATAGTGGCGCAGGATGGAGGTACAATCCTCTGCAGGAAATGCTCCTATTGTAGGCGTCAGGACTGCAAGACGATAGTGTATTGAACACTACTCGGTTAAGACTGGTAAAGGGACTCGGCTGAGACTGGTAAACGGATTGTGTGTTGAGGAACGCTTAGGGCCTAAAGGGTTGGCCAGAAAGTGGTGAGTGTATTCAGCAAAAATGGTAAAAGACTGGTCAAACAGCCCTGTGGAATTTTTTTTTCTGGGTAACTAAGCATATGAGTGCGATAACAAGGCTCATGTGTTCTGGATAGGAAAGGATTCGTGTTAAAACTGCCATCCACTGAACAGCAAGACACGGTGGGTAAAAATATCATCACAAACCATGGACGAACATGTTCCTTGCATGGTAGACTTCTGACTGAGAGGTCACACTCACGAGGTAGTGTTTGGAATACGGTGCCCGAAGAAGCTTGCAGTGAGGCAATGTGCGTATCCGGTACCTATCAAAGACATTTGCGTGGAATAGTGAGAAAGAGTGGACTCGCGTAAGGTACATATCGCGTAAGAGCCGTGCTTTGCGGCAGAACGGTGGACTGAAGGGCCTAGACACCGGACAGTTGACCGTGAATGACAGGGCTCTGACCATCGGGGAACGACTGGAGACAACTGAAAGTGTTCTGTACAGTGCACCCTACACCCGCAGGGCGACTGGTGGCTGCTACTAGCTGATCTGGCTACCAGCTACTAGCGACTTCTAGCGGCTACTAGCGACTATAGCGACTACTCGCGGCTACTAACGACTTACAGGGACTACTAGCAGCTACTGGCGACTTCTAGCGGCTACTAGCGACTACTAGCGATTACTAGCGGCTACTAGCTGGCCAGCGCTGTATTCTGTACAATGTGCTATGTGCAGAGCTTTTGTCTTACCCAGAGCCTTCAAACGTGTTACAGAAAATGACACTACAGCGAGCGACTTCCTCGACACGATTGATAGCTCCAATCTTTGCAATGAGACCTGTGACAGCGATGACCAGAACCAGCGGCTTTCAGCAGCGCCGCCACACGTCGCTAAACTGAACTACTGATTAGGGGCGTGGCCGCATTCTGCGGAGCAGTTCTGTACTCGAATGTTTATTGTATTGTATATTGTATAATATTCTCCTTGTATCGTATTGAGTGTATAACTCCCAGGCATATGTGGCGTATGATCAAACTATTTTGGTGCTGTGTCAAATGCGTAATTGATAACCAATTGCTTAGCGAATAGCCTTTTCCAGATGACCTCAACTGCAATCCAAACCAAAGAAGCATTCCCTATTTTCTTGATAAAGATGTGAGTACCTAATTATAAATTTGTCTGTAATGGCTGATATATTAGGGCTCATATCCAAATGTAAGCGAAAAATGCTTAAGTGTTTTCGTGAGAGGTCATAGCAATGAATCCGAAATAGCAATGGACATGTGGTCTTGACGAACGGGACTATTATTCTCATGTAATTAAGTACCGATCTACAATTGTTATTTATTTTTGGGAAAATTAGTATAGACAATGGTACATGCAAAGTAGGGTTAATATGCATAGGAATGCATATTTACCCAACTTTGCATGTACCAGCTGTAAATATTGAATAGTTATATGTAAGTGCAGTTATGTGTAATCGTTATATTATGTAAAATTATACGTTTACAAATGTTGCAATTTATTGGTAACTATATGTACATGTTGCGTACGACGCGGTCATACTACTATAACTTATGTATTTACAACTTGTAAGGAATGGAAAACGTCTAATGTTACATGTATGTATATGGTGTAAAATGCATATATCCTGGCTATCCAAATAAGATATATACCTACTGAAATGTTAGATCGTATATAACTAGAAGAGAATGTACCAATTGGGCTCACCAAAATATGTCTATAATACATGTTTCTACGAACACTCATATACCTAAGGACAAACGGTGTTGAAAAGGCTACAATGTAGACCATGTGCTTGGTCATTTCTTATGCTGTTATGTGTTTGAACAATAACTATGTGTGTGGCATGGTACGGCTCTCGCGGGTTTAAGCGGTAGGTTTTGCTTTTTCACATTTCCGGCTATATCTCAGAAACTAATCGATGTACGATGAAGCCATTTTAAAGGATCATGGCAGGCATGCATAAAAATAAATCTATCGCATCTTAACCCGCGAGTTGCTGGGGGGGAGGGGGGGCGTTAAACGCCCCCACTTTTTTTCGCCGGGCCATAGCATAAAAACGGCGCGCCAAATTTTGGGTACCTGTAGGGAATTGATTGAAGTGTATTGTGACAAAGTTTCAAAAAAATCGGTCGGAAAATTTTTGAGATATTGAGGTTTTAGTGACGTCATGATTTCTGAGTTTTCGACCAAAAACGGCATATGTTCAAAAAATCATATAAAATCTCAGAATAGACATACAGACATGCCGTAAACGCCATTAGAATGCCTATACTATGATAAATAAAATGGCTATCTTCGATTATTGATTATCGTTCCGCATTTTCCATAACCTTGAACTGAATCTTGGCAATTTCTCGTGACTACTTCACGACCATGATACATGCATTTCTTAAATTGAACTTTTTGAGCCAAACACGTACACATATGATAAAATGAATGTCACCATCGTGTTCTACGCCCCAAATTACCTATGAAACATGTGTCACAGGCTGCGAATATCAGTTTTGATTTTCGGGGATATGTGCCTACCCGGTTGACCTGACCTTGACCCTGACCTATGCTTGACTGACCCCTACATGGAGCTGACACTCGTGTAGGCCTTATATGATGGATTGTGCACCGTTTTGACAGAGTTTATGACGAGAGGCACCCATTGCGAAGTCCTGAAGTCCATGCTACTGAAAGCCCGATATCAGGTGTTTGACCTGACCTTGACCCGACCTGTGACCTCAAAATCCAATTTTTAAGTACTCATCTGAAGCGTCTCGTCGCGTTCTTTCGTTTGCCGCCTCGTGCGTTTCGCTGCGCCTATTGGTTCTCGAGTTATCGTCTGGGGGCGTTTAACGCCCCCCCCCCCAGCAAACGGTGGGTGGCGAAATACCCCAGCAACTGCCGGGTTAAACCCTTAAAAGCGACGAATAAAGTATAGCCCGGAATTAATTAAGTTTCATGGGAGCAAGACCTACCGCTAAAACCCGCGAGACCTGTACACCCTTTGTAGTAGTGCTGTCAAATACGGAAAATTTGGAAACCGATACCAAACCATATACCTACCATCCGAAACAATAGGAGAATACCAGAACCCAAACCAAATGGTAAAACTGACGTGAATGCAAACTTTTTAACAAATTCAGATCATCTTATACATTAGTATTGCTTCCTAATACTAACAAAATACCAAATGCATAAGGTTTGAAATACCACAAACCAAGTTGGTATCGGTTTGGTGTCGGTACGCAAAATGAGTTGGTATCCAGTTGACATCACTACTCTGCAGTTTGTTCAAAGTCTTAGTCGTTACATATCCAGTTCGGTTATCAGTCATCTGTGTGTGAGATATGTTCTGAATGTAAATAAAAGATGTTTCTTTTCTTATTATCGTTCTTGCAGTTTTTAACCAGCGTCGGCCCGGTGCTCCGAGACTTCCGTGCCGGGCCGAGGGGTGTCTGAACACCCCCTCCCTTCTAACTCGGCTCCTGGGCCACGTAGCGACATGCGGTAAACGGCAATCGAAATAACGTCCAAAATAGGGACGAAAACACTTTGATCTTTTTTTTGGTCAGGTCAAAGGTTAGGTCACCAAAGGTCACCAAAGGTAAGATGTTCGCTATTTCAACATTTTGGAAACTGCGAACGGCTATCTCGGGAATCGATAGAGCTACAACGCCGCAGAATGGAGCATTTGACAGCTCTTTTAACGCTCTTTCGACAGCATGTCCTCAGATTTGACCTCAGGTCAACTTTTAGCCTCCAGAGGGCAAAAACTCAAAAATAGCCGTTTTTACGATAAGTGTTTTTATCGGCAATTTCTTTTGACTCAAATAAGGCAGGACATTATTTTTGCCAGCATCGTGTTCCTCTCGTCGAGACGCTACAATGAACTACAATTTGACCTTGAAAGGTCTACTTGAAGATTTGATCTCAGGTCAAGGTCATGACCTGACCGGTGAAGGTCATATTTCATATCAGTCGATCTGCAATCTGCATCATAGAGCTGAACACATCCAAGGCGTTTTCATCGCTCTAGCATGGCTATATCAGAAGTTATTAGCGAAAAACTGCTAGATAGTAGGTATACATACCATTCGTGACCTGAGATGACCTCGGGGACATAACGAGGGGTCACAGGTGCCTGTTCCGATTCAATGTGTCAATTTTACCTGCATCTCGATATTCGACAGTGTCTAGATAGAATGGCGTTCGTGCAAAAGAGACGCTTTTTCAATTTTCTCCCATTGACTTATAATGGACATTCAGCAAAATTGACCTGACCTTAGGTCACCGATATCAAAATTCCAGGATAGACGTTTCCTAAATACTATTAGGTTCTCTTATCAATGGCTGAAAGTTTCAAAGCAATCGTTCAGTCGGTGTTGCTATGACGAGCATTCTAATTTTTTTCTGAGATGAGGTTACTTGGTGTGACCTGGTGACCTGTCCTTGAGCGGCCTGGGTGTGCAATTTTCACAACATGTGCGGAAAAAAATGCACAAACAGGTGTGCAAAAAACGGCGACGCGGAGCGCCGCCATTTTTGATATATCCGCGAAAATACCGCTGGGGGGGGGGGGTGTTCAAACACCCCCGGCTCGGCGCGGGTGAAGTTATTTCACTTATCATCGGACTCCCAGCTTGGAAGTGATTTGTGAAGCCGCTACAAATTTCCTTTCGGAAGTGCAAACGTCAAAAACTCTCCGTCAGAAATTATTTGAGTCTTGCGGCACAGCACGCTTCAGGCGCTGTGCGCTAGAGCCATCTGTTGACGAGTATTGATACTACTGCGCCGTGCGGCACAGCATACTTCAGGCGCTGTATACTAGAGCCATCTGCTGGCGAGAGTTGATACTACTACGCCGTGCGGCACAGCATGCTCCAGGCGCTGTATACTAGAGCCATCTGTTGGCAAGATTTGATACTACCTAGCCTTGCGGCACAGCATGCTTCAGGCGCTGTAACTACTGCCATCTAGTGGGTAGTGACCAAACTGGTAAATCAATAAGCCAACGCGCATGCGCTTGGCGGCGCCACTGCACCGCCTGAGGCGAATCGCGAATGTCAACAAATATCATATACACTGTGCAAATATCATGCTAGACACGCAAGGTGGTAGTGACTGGTCAGTTTCTGTGAATTTTCCTGTCTGTGGTTTTCAGGTGCCGGTAATAAGCGATATTTGATTTTTACGGTAAGTGTGTGTGTTTCATTTTTTATGGAGACAAACTCAACCAACCACGATGAGTTTGAGCTAGGTACCTACCTTGATCAGCAAGCTGTCGTCATGCCTGATATATTTTTTGTGATTTTTCTCTTGAGCTGTCATTGATATTTTTGAATTGCTGTGTGTCAATGCCTACATGATTTCTGTTCATTATATGCCATATTTTTGCCCATTTTTCAGCCTAAACGACTCAATGCCCTTTATTTTTCTGATTTTTAATTTTCCTTGCATAGTATGCTATGCATCAATGTCAGCAATCAATTTCCTCATCATTGACCTGCAATATTTCCCCTCCGCAGCTGCCACCTAATCAGGAGGTCCCAGCGAACTGCCTCGGACCGCTGATGTCGGAGGGAGAGTCGTCAATGGACGGCTGAATGGGAGCCTGCTACTCGAAGAAGGCCGGTCAGCTTGCAGAAGCGTACTCTCACCCAGTCAGGGCGGGGTCGCCCGCCCGGCCGAGAAAGGTGAGGCTCATGATAAATAGTTCTGTCTCAGTCTCATCAGCTTAACTAGGGAAGGTAGGTAGGTAAGGAGGCTATGAAACCTCAGACCTCTTGCCACAACATCCGCCTTGCACCAGTACTTGGAATCTGTTGCAATGGACGCCCACTCCAGTTCTCTATTTTGGTGACAATTTACCTGTAACTTCTACCAAGCACCTGTAATAGGTATGTTTGTGGTATGTGTTGTCCTAAATAATTTACTCTCATAGGTTAGCTAACTGCTCTAGGAAATCTTAGAGCATCCAGCTCCCTTTGCCTAGCTAGCCCATCTACTTGGCAATGCATCTAACTATGAGAAGCAGTTTGTTAATTTTACCTAGCCAGAATTTCTGGGGCATGGGGCATTAGATTAACCAATGAAAGAGTCTGGTGCCTATAAGTTGGACCATTTATGATGTATTTTGACTAGCATAACATTTCCAAATAAGCTCATGTGCATACACAAAGGACATTTAGCATCAGACTAATATTCATTTCAGCATCATAACTTTCATATTTATCACAGTTAGGTCAGCTTTAGTACCTACCTATGCACTTTCTTACGTAAAGTAGGGGGCAATGAAGCTCCTGTCCATTCAACTGATGTTGAGGAAGGTATCTAGACAGCGAAGTTGACTCATACATTCTCAACTAAAAAAGGTTAGCAATGTGGTGTAGGTGTTGTCATCATCAGCAGCCTGTCTTCTGGTGCTGACCTGAAGCCTAGTATTAGGATTAGTTTAGTGTTAGGTATAAAAACTTGAGTGAATTTTTCTTCCCAAACTGACAATGAAAGGCCATGCAAGTGAGTCATGTATAAAGTTATGCTGTTGGTCATGTTGTGTTTCATTTTTGTTTGTAGGTATTGCATTATTCTAGCTTTACATTTTGGTGTGACTGAAAGGTGCTATAGTAATATTTATATTTTATTTGCCATTTCATGATTTTAGCCACAT